CGATTTTCCTGGTGATCATTGGTGACGCTAGTTGGCGCAGTCATTTAGTTGCGCAAACGGATTATCACTAACAACATATATATATAGAGCAAAAAAGCTTAAGTCATATTTGAAGAAAATTAAATTAAAAGTTATTTTAATACTTATACTATTTTGTTTTTAAGTTTTCAAAAAGATTGAAAAGGTATCTCCATTAATGTTTAAAAATAAAAGGAAGAGATTAATAAGCTAAATGTATTATTTATAGTAAATACTTTAATTAATAGAATACTATTTACTTTATAGCTCTTACAGATATTAATAAATTTAAAAAACAGGTAAATATTGTCAAAAGAATCCTTTTCTATAGAGTAAGGCAAAAAGAGGATTCTATAATAGAAATCCAAAAAGGAATTAAGAAGTAATCTAATTATAACTTCAAAATAGATACTGTAATTAAAAAAATGGCACAATTGAGTTGCAACTTATAATTAAATTTACTTATAATGATGCAAGTAAGTTGCAACTCAATTAAAATTTGAAAGTAATTATAAGGAAGTATTTTTCTACTTTCAGTTTTCATAGTCATATAAAAAAAATCTTTATAAAGCAAATAAATATTATTACAGCTGAGAACTGTTCTGATCATTGCTTTATTAATATTTTCTTATAATAGTAAATGGTCAAATAAACTGCAATGATTTCTAGCTAATAAATTTATGATTTCAATTAATATTATCATCTTGACTGCATTAAATTAAAAATAGTAGTTGTATAGTTATGATACAAGGTGGCTTGTTGAGAATTGCTTCCTATAATTAAACAATAATGATACTTATCTTGTGAAAACTCGTTCTGAACAGTATTTGTTTCCTTCACACAAAAATCAATTACTGCCCAATCCCTCATCTTTATTTTACCATATTTTTGAAATCTTTCAAAATGCTCTTTAAGTCTTTTCCCATCTCTAAGTAGTTCAAAAGCCCATTGAAATTTGCTATTTAGGTAAAAGTTAACTGCCCCTATAATGAATAAGTTAGATTAGAATCTAAAAATATAAATAAATAATCCAGGTATTTTATTTTACCTTTCATGCCAAAATAAATTCCAATATTGCAGCTTAATCTTGCTGGCCATACACTATAGTAAAATTCATTTTGATAGATTCTCTCTATATAAGTTCTATCTACATTTATAGAATAGGTAAATCTTAATAAACTTCTATCAATTTTTATTAATACCTTGTGTATAAATTGTGTTATCTCTTGTTGATCTATTTGAGGTGATGACACAGGTATGAAATTGGAATAGACAAAAGTCTTGATGTATTCTTTGCGATAGAATTGTTCTGCAACTGGATAACTAAAAGATAGATATAATCCATCCTTATTGAAAATTCCAATCTTCAAAAGAGAAGCCAAAGTAGCATTGTCAATAGCTTTCAAATTTATGTGACCATTTTGAATAATATCGTTAAGTATGCCTTACAATTTTTTCAGTTTTATAAGCTTTTTTAAGTTTGATATATCTGCAAATGCTCGAGAATTATCCAATATTATTGAAAATTATCTATCTGAAATGAACTATAATACTTCTGATTCAATGTCACCTGTTCAATCTTTAGAAGCCTTTGTAAGCTCTTTCAATGCTAAACGACATAAACTGATATGACTTTACATTGCTCTTCATATTGCATCTGTAAAAATTTGTGACAATACTAACTCTTCATGTTCACCTTTTGAATTTTTTCTAAATTCAGAAACCAACTCTGTATATTTATTAAAGTTCAGAACAATATCATTGAAGTAATATTTGATAAGAAAACAACTTAGAGAGGACATGTTTCCCAACTGACTTGCTTGAATATCATATGTAGATGTTGCAAGAACATTACAAAGTTGTTGATTATTGTGAAAACTGAAAAGGATATCCTAGATCTTAAACATCATCCAAAATTCTTAAATATTAACTAATTATTGGTGCCAAAATGGAAGAAATATAAAAAAAATCTGCTATAGATATACCTCTATGTGAAATATGTTATGAACATTATTAATGATCAAAAAGTATTAGAATTTACAATTATATCAATCCATTCCAATGATACATACTTTTGAATGTAAGAAGACAAAATATTAATTTCTGATTACGACCTAACCTTCAAGAGTTTATTTTGATATGCAACATATCCAGCAAAAGGGATGCTAATAATAGCGACCAATTTAATTAATTGCGTTAATGCCATCTTTCCCAAAAATGGTAGTGATTATATCAGAATTTTGCCTTTCTGCATGATGTTGTCTAATATCTTCTCAGCTAGTTATTTTCGAAGAATGCAATTTATTTTTGTTAGTCCTTCTGAGTCATTCGATTCAAAAAGTATTAATAAAATCCCTATATTTAAAGATTTTTGAAATAAGCAAGAAACATGATATCGCGCAAATAATAATAGAGCAATGGTTATATAGCTAATCCAATTATAAAGTATACGAGGCATACAAATATTAAATTATACCTACATTGACGATTAAACTCATACGCAAAATCTGATATCCTTTTTGCTAGTCTTTATCACAATCCATATTCTTCTAACTCATCTTGTTTTAATCTTAAAAAATTATAACCAATGACTTCCTTATTGCAGAAGACCTTAAAATGGTTTTCGTTTAATTGTAATTTTTTTTTGATTTTGTAAGAAAGCAATAAGAGACTTCATATTATATTCTTCCACAACTTCGACAAAGGGATCAGAATATAATATTAGAATCAAATTGTGATTGAATTAAATAATATAATTCTATATATATAACTTTGTAAAAAATTTTTAAAAAGTTTTGATTGGTCAAATAAAATTTAATTATCTTTTGGTTATCCTTATTGATATTTCAAACTCATATATTTTCTTTTTAAAATGGGATTTAAAATATATATTTAGTAATTAATTATGCATTGTCAATGGAAGAAATTGCAACTTCAAATATTACGTGGGATATGTCAATCAATAATGATCTCATGTTAGATAATATCACTGCTGTGCCAAACAGTGATCAGCAGTAATTTCTGTTTCTTCTATTACATCTATTCTTTCTGTATTTTCTATACAGTCTGTTTATCCTGTTTGTTCTATTTCGTCCATAATTTCTTTAACGTCTGTAATTTATTTTATTTCTTTTTATTATTTTTATAGTTTATATTATATTTATTATTTTATCATATTTAAGTATATTTTTATTAAAGTATGTACTATATTTAGTTAATTTATAGCGTAGCAAGTAGTTAGCTGTAGTAAATTCATTTTATATAAATAGAATAGCTTTTTGCTTTAGTTGTAAATTAACTCATTTGTAAGTTTCATACGAGTTTCAAGATATAAATAAAGGAATCAATTTAAATCCACACAAACTACTTTCCCTTTAACGTTGTTCCTCATCTAGAATTATTGTGATACATTATACTAACTTACTATTGAGTTCATCATTACAAGTTTGACTAATATATCTTAAATTCTAAGACGTGATAAATTGCCAAGTTAATTCAAGTATAATGGATACCTGTAGGACTTAGAGACAATCCTAAGGTCAGAAACTCCAACGTGTAGAATCAGCTGTCACAGCCTTTCAACTTAGACATTAAGATAAATGAAAACGAACCTGGTGACAATTTGGTGATTCCTGCCAGAATATAAAACTTTTGAGAAAAGTTAAGAATTGTGGATTTAAATAAGTTTAGACAAGAGAACCAATTACACAACCTCAGTCACGGACCAGAGATTGACTCAAAGAAACTTCTTGGAAGAGATTTATCCTGTTTAACTTATTATCCTCTTTATACTCCAGAACCTGAAAACTTTGAAAATTTGTGAATTGGTATCAGCTCCAATTCAAAGCATATAGATATACCAGTATTACTCTTGACCTTTTTATTATTATTAGTCAAACTGTTCCTGAGTTTAATTTATACCCAAATGATCGTGATCTTTTTAGGACCCTTGTTGCTCAGATCAGTGTTCTAACTCAAAGTTATAGATATAATCCTACTGCAACTGAATTACCCCCCGATTACTCAATTAATTTCAGTATTTATAGATACTAATTGTTTTACAAATAATCTTTCTCCATTTGTTACGTGAACACAGTCTTCAATTACATGTATCTACAATAAATATTTATTATAAGAAAAATTAAACGTAGCTCCTTCAAAGAAAGATAACACTAGTCAGAAATCAGGCAGTTCTCAATCTCAACAGATTTACCAACTTAGAGACGGAAGATCTTATACTTCTTCTATGCAACTTACTAGAAGAAAAAATACTTTGAATATTTCTACAAGCACGAAAAGAATATCTGAAAGATCATTAAACACAAACACAGAATCTGAAATTAGCCAACTTCAACCTCAATCACCTCAGTCTACTACTGTTGAAACTTCTCCTCAAAAAACCGTAACTTTAAATAATTCAGATATTGAATTAGACAACGGTCAAGTATATCTTAATAGCCCCTATAACTTTAATAAGGCTGAAGTAAATAGGATTGTAGAAGAAGATAATTCTGAATATCCCCTAATAGATAGTCCAAATTTTGGATACAGTGATAATGATACAGTAGAAACTACAACTGAGATAATTTATCTTCAGTCAAAAGATAAAGGTCCAGAAATTGATACTTTGATCACAGGCTTCTATAATATTTCACCTTCTTTCGGACATAGAAAATATCAATCAAATCCAAATACTTCAAATATCTTTAATCAAACGATCATTGGAAAGTTGGGAACTACACTGCCTCTATTTCTGTTGAAAATCTTATCAATACTTCTAAAGCAACTAAACTGAAGCAGGTTACATTCAAAGCAATTGAAAATATCTCTAACCCTTTTCAATCTAATAATTCTACAAGTATGAATCCTTCATTAAGTACAAATACTAGAAGTTCTAACCTTTCTTCTGGATTTGGAACTGGGAGTAATACAATACAAAATAATAATCAATCGTATCAATGGAGATCTAATACATCTAACACCTTTAATATTGCTAAAATAGAAAATATAGGATTTGAAATCATTTTAACTCAGCCCATTACTATCCAACCTACATTCAATACCAACACTTCTAATACCAATGCTAGCTATAATAATTTTCAGATGGCGCAGTTATTTCAATAAATGACTCTGACACTACAAGCTATGAACTCTAATCCAACAGGAAATGTAGCTCAAGTAAATCGAGCAGAATTGAACTTAGTTAAGCCCACTTATTTTCATGGAACAGATAATGAAGACTCTTATGAATGGCTTGCTTCCTTTGAATGAGCAGTCACAGCTAATCAATAGACTAACAATAGAAAAATAGCTATTGCTGCGAGATACTTAAAAGACGCTGCTGCCAAATGGTATAACAAAAATCAACCTACCTTTCAGAATTAGACTGTACAAGAAAGTCAATACAACTTCACTAACCATTTTCTGAATTATTTTGTGAATGCTACTATGAAAAATAAATGGATGACTGATTTAGAGTTAATTCGTCAACAGCCAGGACAAAGTGTAGCTGATTATGCCCAAAA